AGAAGTCTTTAAAAGGTGGACCTTTTCCGGGAGATCTTAAAGAGGCGCCAGCCATACTAAAGAAAAAGCACTAAAGCCGGACGCAGGTGGAATAAATATCCAAATCCCAAAGCATTAATACAACTTTGCGAAGTTTTACTCTACAAGTTATAATCCTGCATTTCAATCTTTGCTTAGAAATACAAACCAACCATTTTAAATATCAACGTCTTGCATTAACTTTAGGTTACTTGTGTAACCCTTGTTCTCAGAATAACTGAATGCAATAAATGAGAACACACGTTTGGACAGCTCCAAACTGGAGCTGTCCAAATGTGAAATACACTGACAATGGATTAGTACCTCATACATCCCCACAAAAACCCTAACTACAGTATAAGAAGTTGAGTACATTTACTTGTTTAGTGGTTGATGCTACCTGCATGTTTAGTTAGCTCTGTGTGTTTTTGTTAATTTTCACACAAAAATCTTTGCTCTGCTCTCCATAGGACCTGACTGTTAATGACGTCAAAGGTCTGCTCGGCACCAACTTGGTAAATTTGAAGTCCTATGAAAACCAAACGTCAGTACAGACCTGGATTAGCCAGAGGCTCCAGACTGACCTCGACACGCTGAAAGTCGGGCTCACGGGAGGCAGGGCCAGCTCTCCAACCACCGGCTCTCCAACCACCGGCTCTCCAATCACCGGCTCTGCAACCACCGGCTCTCCAACCATCGGCTCTCCAACCACCGGCTCTGCAACTACCGGCTCTCCAACCACCGGCTCTCCAACCACCGGCTCTCCAATCACCGGCTCTGCAACCACCGGCTCTCCAACCATCGGCTCTCCAACCACCGGCTCTGCAACCACCGGCTCTCCAACCACCGGCTCTCCAACCACCGGCTCTGCAACCACCGGCTCTCCAACCACCGGCTCTCCAACCACCGGCTCTGCAACCACCGGCTCTCCAACCACCGGCTCTCCAACCACCGGCTCTGCAACTACCGGCTCTCCAACCACCGGCTCTGCAACCACCGGCTCTCCGACCACCGGCTCTGCGACCACCGGCTCTCCGACCACCGGCTCTCCGACCACCGGCTCTCCGACCACCGGCTCTGCGACCACCGGCTCTCCGACCACCGGCTCTCCGACCACCGGCTCTCCGACCACCGGCTCTGCAACCACCGGCTCTCCAACCACCGGCTCTGCAACCACCGGCTCTCCAACCACCGGCTCTCCAACCACCGGCTCTCCAACCACCGGCTCTCCAACCACCGGCTCTCCAACCACCGGCTCTGCAACCACCGGCTCTCCAACCACCGGCTCTCCAACCACCGGCTCTGCAACCACCGGCTCTCCAACCACCGGCTCTCCAACCACCGGCTCTGCAACCACCGGCTCTCCAACCACCGGCTCTCCAACCACCGGCTCTCCAACCACTGCCAAAGCTGTGACCACTAAGTCTCCTACCACCACCACCACCAAGGCTCCTACCACCACCACAACAAATGGCACCTCCACAGGTGAGTCACCACCATGTAGTAGTAATAGTCAAGTCAAATTCCTCGTACGCGTCAACCTACCTGCAGTGATGCAAATTAGTCGCTTTTCGGCGCCTCCCGCTTTTTAAAACGCTGATTTGGGTGACTTGTGCAATTCGTGGAGAACCGAAGAGTTTTCGTTTTGGGGGTGGGGGCCGCTTCACACGCAAAATAATTATACAAGCGAGTGCCTGTTTTTCCTGGCCAAGAACAGGTTCCTTGAACATAACACGAGCGTAACGTGGTTATGTCTCGTCTGAAAGGAGTGTAGACTAGAGTGCTGACGGAGAGCACCGGAACGCCCCTCCAGCCCTTCAAATATTGCAGTACCCACAAGGAACCGTACACATGCCGCAGTGTTTGCGTGGCTGTGTCTTTAGTTGTAAGCACAGTGGCGATCTGTTGTTATTAGCATCTGGTTAGCTAGCTATGCTAACGAATTTAAAGAGCTTTTCTACAACCAGAGGCTCAAATAATCTCAGCTCAGTGAGGTTAAGGCACACCTTGATATGATCATTATAGTTATTAATGAGACATTAGAGACTAAAATGAAAAACAGGTATAAAATACTATATGACAGTAACAAAAAAGTTGTTAAAAACAACAAGAATAGAGTTTAAAAGAGGAGTGATTTGTAAAATATCATTTTCATATGGGTGTTGAGATGTATCCATAGATCTCCTAATGTTGCTCTCAAAGTGCACCAGATTGATGCTTTTAACTTCAATAACATCCTCTAAATATATTTAGAGGAGGTTAGGTCCCCCTCAACTTAAATCATGTTCACATGGATAAAATACTAAATACATTTGCACACATCTTGTGTCCATATCTTTCTGTTTTGGTGGTCATGCCACAACTGTGCATGTGAATGCATGCGCAAGTCATGGTAAGATATCTGGATTAAGAGGTTGCTTTTTCTTTGCACAACATGAAAGAAAGGCCAAATTAATGGGCTGTGATTTTAGTATTTTTAAGCAGAGGTTGAGTTCAATCATTTGTACGGCCCTTTTGAGGATGTTGTAAAAATGTAAAGGAAAAAGGTTCCCCACCCCTGCTGTAAATAATAATAAAAACCCTTGATTTATAACTTAACATCTCTGTCTCCTATTGATCTGAGTATATTATAAAGAATAGCAGTTAATTGAAGCATTATAGCACAGGCCTTTGTCAGATGGTATTTTACGCTGTTTTTTTTCTGCTTCGAATAGTTCTCTCTTTTTTCACCATACCTGTGTTTGCATCCCTGTACCTGTAATAAACCTGTTTCTGATTCTGATTCTGTCACATGGTTCCTACCACCATATTCAGCCCTGCCCCTTTCCCCGATTCTGGTTCATAAATGCTTATGTCTTTGTTCTTCTTTTATTTGGGATCAATCACAGCTACACTGCGTTGATCGGAGGCTTTTAAAGTACCACATCCATCCTCTGTTAGTGCTGTGGGGATGACATATGAAAATGACCTCAAATCTGTGGGCATTTGAGAAGATTTTTGATAACTCTGTAGTGTCCTGTGGTTTAGATGGCCCTGCTTTGAGGAGCTAGCAAAGGTACCAAAACAAATGTGCCAGTCGGACAGCATACTAAAGCTCATGTTGACACTTTATAATAACTCTCACTTCCAGAAGGATAGACAAAGGTCGACAGTGTTGACATTTATAAAACAAGTTAACAGAGACTCAATTAGGCTAGTGTGCTATTTAGCTAGCAGACATTAGCTATTTAGCAAGTGAATCCATCTATCTATCTATCTATCGATCCTCTCTGTCTGTCTGTCTGTCTGTCTGTCTGTCTGTCTGTCTGTCTGTCTGTCTGTCTGTCTGTCTGTCTGTCTGTCTGTCTGTCTGTCTGTCTGTCTGTCTGTCTGTCTGTCTGTCTCTCTGTCTGTCTGTCTGTCTGTCTGTCTGTCTCTCTGTCTGTCTGTCTGTGTGTCTGTCTATCTGTCTGTCTGTCTGTCTGTCTGTCTCTATGTCTGTCTGTCTGTCTGTCTGTCTGTCTGTCTGTCTGTCTGTCTCTATGTCTGTCTGTCTGTCTGTCTGTCTGTCTGTCTGTCTGTCTGTCTCTATGTCTGTCTGTCTGTCTGTCTGTCTGTCTGTCTGTCTGTCTGTCTGTCTGTCTGTCTGTCTGTCTGTCTGTCTGTCTATCCATCTGTCTGTCTGTCTGTCTGTCTGTCTGTCTATCTATCTGTCTATCTATCCATCTGTCCGTCTGTCTGTCCGTCTGTCCGTCCGTCTGTCTGTCTGTCTGTCTGTCTGTCTGTCTGTCTATCTATCCATCTGTCCGTCTGTCTGTCCGTCTGTCCGTCTGTCCGTCCGTCTGTCTGTCCGTCTGTCTGTCTGTCTGTCTGTCTGTCTGTCTGTCTGTCTGTCCATCTATCCATCTGTCTGTCTGTCTGTCCGTCTTGTCTGTCTATCTAGCAACATTACCAGAGATCCTCTTTCACATCATCATGAAACAACAGTTACATTTATTTCTGATCTTAGTTGAACATAAGCTGGATATATTGGGTATTTGATGAATGATTTCAGTATTACTGATGTCTAAAGTGAGTTTGTGTGTCTGTTTCAGGAGCCCACATCCGAGCAGAAGCTGGAGTCACCTTCTCCGTCCTCTTCGCGCTCTTCATTGCTTCTCTTGTATGAAAAAATACATGGCTGATGTTTGTCATTGAGCAAAATGAATATATAGTTATAGAAGAAAAAGTGGTAGCTACATGCTACATTGTACTGATTTGACTGTGCAATAACCAAACAGTAAATGTAAATAATGTATCCTTAATGAGTTTATTCGTCAGCAGCAAGTACATGCTCTGAATGTTAAATGCACTTTTTAGGCTCATATATTTACTACTTTTGTGTTTTTCTCCTGGTGTTTCAGGTGTTATGATTGTTCAAATGAAAGGTTAAAAAAATGAAGGTGAAATTATGTATTTAAGTCATTGTAAATCATATAGAAATAGCACTTTGTGTTCTGTAGACAGGCTTACCTTGATTACGATAATAATAAAAACTTGATTTTTACATTGTTGCAGGATCATTAAAGTTTCTCTTGCTTGGTCACAGTTTATTAATATTACGGTTTGAAGTGAAAACATTTTCACAAAGAGTCACACGCTTTAATCTGTGCAGGAAAACCAACACCATCAACAAATGTAGTTGCAAAGTCATTATGAATAAAGTCTGTGTCTCGAGTCCAACCTTCTAAGGCGGCCACTAACAAGACGAATAATAGTGTTATCTTTTATTACTGTCATACTCAGGATAATTACATTTTCTGAGTATGACAGTGTTTCATTCAGGAGGAAACGTCAGTAGTCCGACATTTCAGTTTGTGTTGCAACAAACAATATTTTCCATGTGAGTTTATTTGAATATGATTTAATCATAAGTGAATCATTTGGATATAAGTAATCAAAAAAGCCTTGTGTTAGTGCCTTAAACTATGATTCTACTATCAAAACTTTACTTTTCAGATTATTTGTCTTATTGTTGCACAGCTCGAGTATTAGTTATAAGCGTTTGTACACGCCAAGTACAGCCTTGCAGGTGGGACAGGTGTGCTTTGCGTCTTTCATCCGGTCCACACAGAACGGGATGAGACAGCAACCTAAAACAAAGCTGGAGAGGACAAAAGAGAATATCAGGATTCATGATATAAGTCATTGCTAACATCTTATTTTTTCATTAATCAAAAACAGATAAATGATCACTACTTGTTTATGAATTTCACAAGTCAGTTTCCTTCTGATCATTACATTACATTTAGCTGACGCTTTTATCCAAAGCGACTTATAATAAGTGCATTCGACCAGGAAGACACAACCTTGAAGAAAACAGAATCATATAAGTACATCAGGTTTCATAGAGCCAAACATTTCAAGTGCTACTCAACTGGCTTTAGGTAAGCCAGTCCTTTATTAGTATATAAGTGCTTTGTTAGTGATTCTATCGCTCGAAGTGGAGTCGAAAGAGATGAGTTTTCAGTCTCCCCCGGAAGATATGTAAGCTATCTGCTGTCCTGATGTCAATGGGGAGCTCAATCCACCATCTTGGAGCCAGGATAGCAAACCCACGTGTTTTTGCTGATGGGAACTTGGGTCCCCCTCGCAGTGCGGGTGCAGCGAGCCGTTTGGCTGATGCAGAGCGGAGTGCACGTGCTGGGGTGTATGGTTTAACCATGTCCTGGATGTAGGAAGGGCCAGATCCATTCGCAGCATACTATAGTACGCTAGTCATGGACGCTAGTAGGCTACCAGTGTCTTGAAGTGGATTCTAGCAGTTACCGGAAGCCAGTGAAGGGAGCGGAGGAGCGGTGTGTTATGATCACATGCACATCTGCTGCTGAAATATTAATTACACCTGGTAACGTACACAGGATGTTGTTATGGAAATTAAACCGTTTCTTCAATTAAAAGTCACATTTCTTTTCAATAGCCTCTATGTCATGTGACCGAATCCATCTATCTCTCTATCTATCTATCCATCCATCCATCCATCTCTCTATCTATCTATCTATCTTCTCACCCACAAAAGAAGAGTCCTCCACAGAGCAGGTAGGTGAGCAGCCCGGAGGAGTGATGCACCTGGGAGAGGACCGTCTGACGGCACTGAGGACAGGACACCTGGACCGGACCGTCTCCAAACGAACCGACTACCACTGCACAGCATCAGGAGGGAGGAGAAGTGAAGTACAACAGACAACATGGATTGCTCTTCATTATAAAAAAGCTCTATTATCCCGTAACTTTTTTAGAAATTCTAACTCTTTTCACCACTTTTTTTTTCAAGGATTCAAGGCTTTTATTGTCAACATAGCTACAGTGTCTATCCATCCATCCATCTTCTCCCGCTTATCCGTGGTCGGGTCGCGGGGGTAGCAGTTCCAGCAGAGAGCCCCAAACTTCCCTTTCCCTGGCGACATCAACCAGCTCTGACTGGGGGATCCCAAGGCGCTCCCAGGCCAGCGAAGAGATATAATCCCTCCACCTGGTCCTAGGTCTACCCCTTGGTCTCTTCCCAGCTGGACGTGCCTGGAACACCTCCCTAGGGAGGCGCCCAGGTGGCATCCTTACTAGGTGCCCGAACCACCTCAACTGGCTCCTTTCGACGAGAAGGAGGAGCGGTTCAACTCCGAGTCCCTCCCGGATGACTGAACTTCTCACCTTATCCCTAAGGGAGACACCAGCCACCCTGCGGAGAAAACTCATCTCGGCCGCTTGTATCCGCGATCTGGTTCTTTCGGTCATGACCCATCCTTCATGACCATAGGTGAGGGTAGGAACGAAAATGGCCCGGTAGACAGAGAGCTTTGCCTTCTGGCTCAGCTCTCTTTTCGTCACAACGGTGCGGTAAAGCGACTGCAGTACCGCTCTCGCTGCTCCGATTCTCCGGCCCATCTCACGCTCCATTGTTCCCTCACTCGAGAACAAGACCCCGAGATACTTGAACTCCTTCACTTGGGGTAAGGACTCATTCCCTACTTGGAGTGGACAGTCCATCGGTTTCCTGCTGAGAACCATGGCCTCAGATTTGGAGGTGCTGATCCTCATCCCAGCCGCTTCACACTTGGTTGCGAACCGATCCAGTGAGTGCTGAAGGTCGCAGACCGATGAAGCCATTAGAACCACATCATCTGCAAAAAGCAGTGGTGCAATCCTTAGTCCACCGAACTGCAGACCCCCTCCCCCATGACTACGCCTCGAAATCCGATCCATGTATATTACAAACAGGATTGGTGACAAAGCGCAGCCCTGGCGGAGGCCAACCCTCACCGGAAATGGGTCCGACTTACTGCCGAGGACCCGGACACAGCTCTCGCTTTGGGCGTACAGAGATTGGATGGCCCTGAGTAGAGACCCCCTCACCCCATACTCCCGCAGCACCTCCCACAGTAACTCCCTGGGAACTCGGTCATACACCTTCTCCAAGTCTACAAAACACATGTAGACCGGATAAGCGTACTCCCAGGCCCCCTCCAGGATCCTTGCGAGAGTAAAAAGCTGATCCGTCGTTCCACGACCAGGACGGAATCCGCATTGTTCCTCCTCAATCTGAGGTTCGACAATCGGCCTGACCCTCCTTTCGAGTACCTTAGAGTAAACTTTCCCGGGGAGGCTGAGTAGTGTGATGCCTCTGTAATTGGCACACACCCTCTGATCCCCCATTTTGAAAAGGGGAACCACCACCCCGGTCTGCCACTCCTTCGGTACTGTTTCCGACTTCCACGCAACGTTGATGAGACATGTCAACCATGACAGTCCCTCAACACCCAGAGCCTTCAGCATTTCTGGGCGGATCTCATCCACCTCCGGGGCTTTGCCACTGTGGAGTTGTTTGACGACCTCAGTGACCTCCCCCCGGGAGATTGGTGTTGATCCCCCGTCATACTCCAGCTCTGCCTCTAACATAGAGGGCGGAGTTGTCGGGTTCAGGAGTTCCTCAAAGTGTTCCTTCCAACGCCCTAACACTCCATCAGTTGAGGTCAACAACGTCCCATCCTTACTGTACACAGCTTGGATGGTCCCCTGCTTCCCCCTCCTGAGGTGTCGGACAGTTTACCAGAACAGCTACAGTGTAGTTATGACAATGCAAATCCTGTGACCTAAGATTTTTATTGTCATAACTACACTGTAGCTGTGTACAAATGACAATAAAAGCCTTGAGTGTGTCACAAAACGCTGTGATAAGAGTTAGAATTTCTAAAAAGGTTACAGGATATTGGAGCTTTTTAATAATGAGGAGCAACCCATGTGTTCTGTCGTACAGACGGTATAGACTCACCCACTGGTATTTGTGCATTTGCCATAGTTCCTGTAAATAAATCGTATCAAACATTTAGGTAACTAGGGCTGCAACATCTACATACTTCACATTTAGTAAATTATTTAGTAAATTATTGTAGTGATCACAAATGCATCATATATCAGAATCAGATTATACTTATTGTCATCATTCTCAGGGACAAACAATGTCATAGACTTCTCTCAATGCAGTTAAAGAAATAGGAATAAAATAAGTAGTGATAAAAGCAGTGGTAGCAGCATAGAGAAGGCCCCAATTATATTAGATTAAAATACATTAAATACTTTACAATACTACAGCATATGGCTGGGTGTGCCTAAATAGATGTCATCAATATAAGTAATCCTACATCTTTGAAATCTTTCAACTGTTGGTTATTGACTGCCTCTATTTTGACAAAATAATAAGGCATTATTTTTAACAGTTTGAACATTATTTAAAGGAGAACAGTTTGGGAGGTATTTTTAATCAGGTGGTTTTGTTTGTGTGCAGGACATTTTTTGATTCCTAGAATATATTCTCAAATCTGTAATAGGTCAAAGAAATCTCACTATGTTACTCTTGTGAGCATCGTTAACCATGCAGTATTAAGACGTACACATATACAGTATGGAATTAAACATTGTTGCTTGTTATAGTGCAACAAAGTTCACACTGTAACGCGGACATGTATCTTACAAATAGCTTAAAATCCAAACATACAAATGAACCGTTTTTAAATAAAGCAGAGTACTTACAGTCGTTGTAGAGTAAAGTCTGACTCCAGAGTTTTCCCCACCGTCGGCTTCACCTCCTTCTCTTCCCGTGAAGTCATGAGATTGCTGAATTGCCTCCTGTGTGAACTTCTCTGACCCAACCCTGCCACAAATCAAATGAGCGAGGAAATACTTTTATAACAACAATCATAGATTTCCTATTTCCCACATCTGTGCATGAAAGGAAATCTCTTACATGCTAATCTAACCTTTGACATGGTATCGTTTTTTTTGCAACAGTATATACAAAAAACCACATACATATGTTTTAGGTTAATTTGATTTCTTAAATCTCCACAGTCATTTCCTCATGATAGAAATAGAGATCGGTGCAAATGACCTCCTCAAATGGAAATAAACAACCATCTGTTAAAGTGAAATACATACTGATGTTTTTACAAGGCATTTCATCACATAAGAAAGTAGTAAGAGCTATTTTTAAGAATGAAGGAAGATGTATAAGTATCTGGTCAACTTGAAAACATTTACAACATCCCTGTGTCTGAGAGACTTGCAGTGCATGAAACTAAAGACGAATACCTCTCCATTCAGACTGAAATGAGCAACACATGACTCCGACTGCTCCAAATTAAATCTGGCATTTAACTATTGACTGAACACAGCACTACAGGATTTCCCTTCAGCACCAAGGACATACCTTCATAGAAACATAAATCAATTTTTTTTTAAAGGCCAGGAATATATTATATATTTTTTAAAGGTTTTGGTTATTTCTTGAAAGGCTTGCATCGTAGTTTTTATCAAACACTGTCAGATAGACGTAAATGACACATTATTGGGAGTTGTTTTGAAGGTCCCATGTCATGGCCATTTCTACTGATCATAATTCCATTGTTGAGGTCTACTAGAATAGATTTACATTGTTCAATGTTGTTGGAGCTCCTGCCCCCCCCCCCCCCCCCCCCCCCCCTCCCTATGAGCCCACTGTGCTCTGATTGGTCAGCTCGCCCACTCGGTTCTGATTAGTCAACCACCGTTACAGCTAAACATCAGTGTTTATGTGTTACAATGGCGTTTGTTAACAACCAGAAAATGACACCAGTAATGACAAACAGATGCGAATGCTGCGTGGGGTCTGGGTGCCGTGTTGGCACGTAACGGCTCCGCGGATTGGTCCATTTGGGTATGGTCACGTCACTGTACGCAGGAAGGAAAAAATGGAAAGTGAGAAATCCCCAACCAGGCGTTCTGGGGCAGCATAGACAGGTATTTTCTGTGTTAGAGTTTTACTCGCTACAGGGTGTACTTTGAGGGTTTGTGACTCTGCAGACCGTTTACATGCAGAAAAAGCTACATAACACACGAGGGGACGGGTAATAACCAGAAAAGCATGACATGGGACCTTTACGATACAGATTAATATGTAGTGAAATAAGTATTTATTCTTTACTGAAGTAAAAGCAGAGATAGCATTGTCTAAAAATACTGCAAGTAAGTCCTGAATTTAAAGTATTATTAGCAACATTTACTTAAAGTGTCAAAAGTTAACACAACATGTGTAAAAGTTGGTAAAAGTATACAATACATAATTAAACTGGTAATATGTGGACTGCATATGGAAATGAAATGAAGCTCAGCGCAAGTTCTTTCAGGAAGACTGATATACATTCACTCCGCAGCTCCCTATAAACTCACGGCTGCATTTCCCCCTTTAGATATACGAGTTCAGGATCGCCAAAGACTTAACATGTATCATATGGCATGTGTCAATAAATGTTCTTTAAACAAAATGAAGTCTCTCCCGATTGAACTAACATTTGGAATAAAGCTTCGTTTCCCTTTGAGATTAATGTATATGTATGCATGCTTGCTTGCATGCTTTACATTTCAAATACACTACAGTGTGTCGCGTTACTGAAGGAACATCGATGCAATCTTTACTTCATAGTGCTTCTTATGTATTCAGTCAGAAGCAACTGATAAAACAAAGAAATGCATGAATGTAATATCACATAATGTGAGCAGAGGAGATTTCGATTTTTTTCACGCTGGATTTTTTTGCCGAAACCTTAACTCCTAGATATCAACAACAGGACGACTTTTAGATGAAAGATGATTATTTTTTAATCAGTAAAAACAGGTGCAATATTTCACATGTAAACAATTGCAGCATCTCATTCTTAATACCTGAATAGTTACAAAGAAATTATATGTTTTATTGACACAAGGATTCCTGTAAAAATAGATCAGTTTAACAAAACAACGATATCGCCTTCAAATAAAAAAAAGAACGTCTTTGCAAATCATTTCAAGTGCTCTAAGGCTAACCAACAGATGGGTTAGCAGGCGCCACATCTTCAGTATTAAATCATTATCAGCTTCATTAACAGCCCTCTGTCCCTGCAGCCAGACTATACACAACAACCAGAAAGTAGTGAGTAGAAGAACTGAAGGAAAAGGTATTGTCTCTGTGTGTAGCAGCTAGCAAGTTAATGGCATTTAAATTGACCTCCGTAATATTCCCTACTTAATCTTCTACATGTTAACCGTTTGTAGTGATAGTTTTTTGTATAATATAATTTTCCACATTATTGATTAGTCATTTCAGGGGTTACGTTGCATTTCCCCCTGAACCATGTCGAACTACAATGCATGAAGCTTCCTATGCATTACTGTCTTTTATATGTAGGCTTCTGAAGTGTCGAGTCTTTAGTGTCACATTCATCTCGAGTAACGCAAAGAAGACTTTGTGTTACATTAGAGAAACAGAGAGTTGATTATATCATGACTGTTGTTCTACTGATGGAATCAGTCCTGTGGGAAATGTCATTATACTGAATTAATTAATGTAAGCTGTATAGATTGATATTTATATATATATATATATCAGATTTAACTTGTTATTGCCAGCCCTGCTCTTTTTCTGAGACGTGGCCATTGTTTTAGTAATTGTTTTAAATGCAAAGTAAATCAGGGAGTTTGTAGAATTTGGCTGCTGGTCTGTGTATATTTAACTCAGATTACATCTCCACCCTTCAACAGAAATATATATAAATATATATATATAATACATATTTGCAAGCAGTTGGCACTGAGTTCCCATATTAGATTGATCCTACGAGTGGATATAAGACCACCATCGTTACAGCAACTTGGAGCTTTCTCTAGCATCGCTACTCGCCCACCTTTAGTTTCCGTTATACTTTTCAACCTAGACCCCATTTCCCCATATTGTGGTGTCAAATTAAAGTGAAAAATTAAACAACAACCGGTCCAGTATTAAGTTAGAGTGCTGCAGCCGGGAAATGCACGTCCACTAAGCGTTTGTTTTTGCTGCTGATAGGTTCTGATTTTCATTACAAGTGTCTGACAACATGGAAAGTGTTTTCTTCACCCTGGACTTGGTCTGTTTGTTATTGCGTCATGTTCTGAAATCTTACCAGAGGGCTAGGCCTCTTCCACATTGTCAACATTAGCCTTAACGTTGATCCATGAACATCTTTGAGATAACACAGCAGAGCGCTCTGTTCTCCAACACAGTTAGTCCTTTCTTAACCAACGATTCAACTTCTTCACAATAACAAACAGGATGGGGGGGGGGGGGTCAAGAGAAAGTGATAGAAAACTGTTTTATTTCTCTGTTGACCCTTCTCAACAGGTTAACAGACCCTTTGAATACAAAGCTGAGCCTGCAGGTTATAAAACAAGTGTTAAGTAGAAGTACATTGACGGTGCATAACTCCCACGTTACTAAATTGTTCTGCAGCTGCCGGTTGCTGCACACTGACTCAATGCTGGACCAATTTCTAAAAGTACTGTCCTCATCCATAACGAAACACATGTGGAGTCCAGTGTGTCCTTACTTCTGTCCTGACTCAGCAGCACACTTTCTCTTCTGACAGACCATCGCTGTCCTCCTCATGTTCTCTTATCTGTGACACAGAACCACGTCACGATGCCCCTTGGGTTTCACACGACTTCCTCCTGAGGGCTTCATTCTGCTCATAACCTGAGGTCTGGTCACACGTCTCCTGGCCCTCTCTCCTCTGCGTCTCTTCCCTGCAGCGTTACGGTCAGGATGCCATGTGGCTTCTCCTCTGTTCTCCTTCGTCCCTCACCTCCTCCTCCTGCTGCTCTTCGGTCTCCGTGCTGTCCTTCAGCGCCCTCAGCAGGACTCTGAGCAGCGTGTTTTCGTTCAGCAGGTTTTCAGACGCGTCCACCAGCTCTTCTAGCCTCCTCACCGCCTCCCCCAGCTGCCGGCTCGTCTCCCGGTGCTGATCCTCCAAGCTCCGCCTCTCGCTCTGCAGATCTGAGTTCTGGGCTTCGAGGGTAATGGCGTCAAACGTCAGCCGCCGGTTGTCTCGCCACAGCTGCGCCAGCTGCTGGGAGAGGCGTTGGCGGGCGTGCCGCAGCGCCTGGACCTCTCGCTGCAGAGAGAGAAACTCTGATCTGAGGACGGAGCTCTGTTCTGCTCCCTCTGCAGCGCCGGACGCTGACCCCGGTTTGTCTGCAGACTGCACAGAGCCAGAGTGCTGCAGCAGGAAGTGAAGGATGTTGGGTAACGTGATGGGCAGGTCGTCGGGATACTTCACAGTATTAGGTTTACTGGAAATGAAACAGGGAGAAAATAGTGAAAACAATGTGGCTGAAATGCATAAACATGTGGTAAAATACTACTACACTTATATAAATAATAATAAAATATGACTTTGTAATTATTTTTGTCAAATGTCAATGTCTGAAACTAATGATTTCTGCTTTTTGGTCATTGTTATTTTTTCTCTTTTTGCGCCAGGGAAACAAATATATAATGTTTTATTATAAGACAATATTAACGGTTTTAAATACCAACAGTCAGTGGTTGCATTGAATTCTTGTTGTCCATAATAATACATTATTACCCATCACTAATCAGTAAGATAATCACTAATCAGTAAGATAATAAAATACACATTAAATGTACATTATTTCAATTGGGTTAAGTTCATCTTTTAAACTAGTAAACAGCATTGAAGTTGTGAAAAATGCACAATCCCCCTAGGCCAAGTTATTATGTTTACTTTGACACGAGACAAACATTTTTTTAAGTCATCCAATGTAAAAGGCTTTAGAAATAAATGGATTCTGGAAAAGTTGTTCCTCTTTGACTTGCTGATTATGAGACTGTCATTAGCAGCTCAATGTGTGTTTCTTACCTGTACTTAGGAAAGAGAAGAATGGAGGGGATGTGATCCACCATGAACTCCCATGGAAGATCATTACGTGCAACATTCACCCTGCACAGAGAATTGTATTTTAGAAATAATGGACCAGAAAACCAAATCATATGAAAACAGAACAGGTTTGCAGAGGAACGTAAAGCAGAACGTACCTGGCCACGGTGATGGAGCCGTTTCCCTGTAACAGCCGGGCCAGCTGGATGATGACGTGGTTGAGAACGGAGCAAAATCCACACCACTGAGTGTAGTAGAACAGCAGCACATCCTGCACGAGAACACACACACACACACACACACACACAATATCATTTCCTCCATAAAAACAAACACATTTTTATTTTCCTCCACAGCTCGAGTCCATTAACTTCATTAAATTGATCTAAAGTGAATTTGTTATTACAAATGTTCCAATGGTATACAGAATTAAAATGGTTTTACCTGAGATCTATGGGCTCAGAACAGTCTCATAATACACACATGCGCACAGAAGGATTCACACTTGTATTTCATGATCCGCAAAAGGATTCAAACTTGTATTTCCGGATCCACACTTGTGTTTTTCAATGCACACACAAATGTATTCCATTTCATATACATGTAAATAAAATCCAAATACAGAAAAAAAAGTTTTACATATGTATTTTTGATCCTCACATATTTGTTTTCCGTTTAAAACCTCTGAACCTGCAACACAAACCGCTTTCTGTGCACAGATCGCTGTGCATTCGTGTGTGGGTTTTTTTGAGACTCCCCTGACGGTCAGCCGATTCGTACTTGTAATTGTTTCTATCTATAGCCAATCAGATGTCTCCTCAATTCTAAGCCAACCACATGAGCGTGCCCCACGAGGGTAGATTTATTGCGTTGATGACGTAGCGCTTCATGTACGCATTTTGCGCAGTCCGGAGCTGACAGGTCTGCCTGCAGGCGCTAATCTCAGGACACCTCCACTCTCAGTACAGCGCCACTTTCCGAACAGGAAATGCACGCAAATACAAGCCTTTATATTATTAAGGTACAGCGCCACTTTCCAAACCATTGATGAATGCTTGTGTACACCGTTTTAAATGTATGTATGTATGGCGAATACAGCTGCTTTATTTATGTCTGTATGAAGTTGTTGTGAGTATGGAGGGAGCAGCTACAGGTTAGCTAATCGATCAGTGCACTACGAAGCCAGTGCTAGACAGTGACCTGTTAACGGGGGGAGCCCCGCCGGTCATTATCGGCCGATATTCACTCTTAATAGTTTGATCGGTGCTCTCTATAAAGGCCGATCAGGAGAGCTGGATCTGATCGATATGATAAACGCGAGTGAAGTATAACCGGACGCGAGAGAGAGATCAGATCAGCTGCTGAGTCTGACTGAGACACGCTGCTCTGCATGATCACCTGATGCTCCGCCCTCTGTTTAGCGAGCTGACCGGACTGCGCAAAATGCGTATATGAAGTAATCTTACCCTTGTGGGGGCGCGCTCATGTGATTGGCTTAGAATGAATGAGACATCTGATTGGCTATAGATAGAAACAATTACAAGTACGAATCGGCTGACCGTCAGGGGAGTCTCATAAAACCCACACACGAATGCACAGCGATCCGTGCACAGAAAGCTGTTTGTGTTTGCAGGTTCAGAGGATTTAAACAGGAAACTAATAAGTGAGGATCAAAAATACATATGTAAAACTTTTTTCTGTATTTGGATTGTATTTACATGTATATGAAACGGAACACATTTGTGTGTGCATTGAAAAACACAAGTGTGGATCCGGAAATACAAGTTTGAATCCTTCTGTGTGCATGTGTGTATTATGAGACTGTTCTGAGCCCATACGATGGGCTCAGAACAGTCTCATAATACACACATAAGGATCCACACTTGTGTTTTTCAATGCACACACAAATGTGTTCCGTTTCATACACATGTAAATACAATCCAAAAAAAAGTTTTACATATGTATTTTTGATCCTCACATATTTGTTTTCCGTTTAAAACCTCTGAACCTGCAAACACAAACAGCTTTCTGTGCACGGATCGCTGTGCATTCGTGTGTGGGTTTTTTGAGACTCCCCTGACGGTCACCCGATTCGTACTTGTAATATTTTCTATCTATAGCCAATCAGATGTCTCCTAAATTCTAAGCCAATCACATGAGCGCGCCCCACGAGGGTAGATTTCTTACGTTCATGACGTAGCGCTTCATATACGCATTTTGCGCTGTGCGGAGCTGACAGGTCCGTGGAGCCGGCAGGCGCTAATCTCAGGACCGAAGTACTTCTACTTCTTCTTACCTTTTCCACGTCCATGACTGCGGGCAGGAAGGAGGAGGTGGTCAGCTCAGTGATGAGGCGGCGAGGGGGGGGCTGCTGTGTGTCTGCATGCTGAGTCTCCCCCTCCCCAACTTTCCTGTCCTCTTCTCCCACCAGATGTCTCTGCAGGAAGCTGTGTGGAGCGCTGAAGTTCCTGATGAAGGCCTCTGTACAAAGATAGGAGACACACACAGTGAGAATAACTATCAAGGTCATATTCAAGTATGACAAACAAATGACTCTTCTAGTAATCCAACTATTTCTTTAAAAAGTTTACCGACTTTCACGTGCATCGAGAAGAGAAATACTACTAATGTCTCTACTGCAGTAAATTGTCTTGTTGATTAGATTAATCAATAAACAAGCAAATTGGGTTTGCAGACGGATCAGGAGGAACATGCAGAATGGTTCAATCAACTTTCTACATGTTAATACTATTAATGAGCCACCACAGGCCAACACTTCCTTTGTCCAATGACTTGCACACTTCTTCGTGTTGACCTTCCCCTGTACCGTATGCAAAACATGTCAGTGTATGCTTTCGGTCTACTTTGTCTGATGATGTGGAGAATGTGCACTACTCTCTGCACCGAGCGATAGGCAACAACACACTAATCTGTGTCCTCCATCAACAGGACAGAAAAACTCTTCACTTTCGTAAATGCAGCTAAGAGCAACACTATACATATTTTTAAAGAGAAACAGTATCGAAGTGCAAAGTTATAACCTCATTTAAATAATCATTGCCCCTTACAACTCTCTATAACAGCGGCTTTTAACGTCACCTTTGATTGTGGACATTTGGAACAGGTATATATTTTGACTTCATGCATGATCTAACCACCATTGTAGAAACTAGTTTGACCAGTTCCAAACCACATAAGACCGTCTGATAGGGCTGAAACACTCTCCAGGTCTCACCCAGAGACTCCGTCAGCGTGGCTGCTGGGCTGCGGTGCAGAACGTAATGAACCTCGTCCTTCAGGTGCACAATGGTTGCAAACGACCCGTCTCCTTGTGCCCCGGCCCCCTGGTGAGGAGAAACACTTCTGTTCCCCGTGGCCCCCAGCCTCTCCGCCAGGGGCCAGTTCAGAGCCACGTCCAGCAGGTAGAACCGGAGCGTCCTGTTGGTGTGACAGCGCAGCCCTGTGATGCCTCCCCCCTCCTGAGAGGACGGAGCAAGGGGGGAAGACGGAGGTGGGAGGGGAGCTGCTTGCTCCTCTTTGGCTTGTGATTGGTTGAGCTGAGGTTCTACTTCTCTGCAGCAGGCACTGTATTGGCTGAACGGGCTGTAGCTGCTCAGGAAGTGGCTGCAGCCCTCGGAGGTGTTCAGAGACGCAGCAGGCAGTCGGTGGAGGCAGCAGTGATGGAGATGAGACTGGAACACTTCTCCTCCCTGAGTGGTGGAGGAGAAGGAGCAGCGCACAGAGGAGCTGCTCAGGCTGGATGGTGACAGACGGAGGCAAACCTCACACACACTCGCACTGAACTCTGGGAGAGGGACTGACTGGCAGCAAGAGTGGGGGGGGGAAGGTTTCCTCTGAGCTGGAGTGGTTAGCGTTGTCACAGGAATGATAACGCACAGCAATGTCTGCAATCTGAAAGACAAAGGAAAGACAGTTCAGTCAGACAACTCTTAATATGTTTATTAGAAGCAGCATAAGTTTGACGTCTAGGCTCGGGCCTCATCACTCCACAGATTTACAAAGAACATTGAGTGATGATTAGATAACTATCCCCGAGCCTACAGGTGGAAGCTGGGGTAGTGGTGGGGTGGTGGGGGGAGCATAGCGAGGCAGAGGCAGGAAGACCTGGCAGCTTCAAAACTGCTGTGACTATGTACACTTTTTAGGATAATGTTGCTACTGCCCAATTTTATTTTTAAATTTCATTTCATTAATGTCTCTTATTTTTATTATATATTTTATATTTCAATTTCATTTAATTTTTGTAATGATGTCCTGTCTTGTCTCTGTCTCTGTTTTTCACATCATTTGTTTTATTTTAATATTTTGTTGTCGTAAGTATTTGTAAGGTATGGTGTGTCTTGTTGTTTAAAAGAATGAAAAATTAATAAACATATTGTTTAAAAAAAAGAATAGAGCAGGTGTTTAACAGGTGTTCTTGGTACGTGCATCTGGGTTAAGGTAAGACAGGTTTCATTACATAGCAGTTTTCAAAAACAGTCGATTTAATCTGTTTACATAATAATGCAATCTGTAAAATGACAAAAAATAAGCATTTTCTTCAATTCAAGGTATTCTGATTCTGATAAATATATAATAAGATAAAATATATATTATGTAAGTGAATAATAGATATATACAAAAAGAAAGCTATGAAAGACCTACAACAGAGCCCTTTGACAGGAAGTAAAGGAATGAGTTTCCGTCTCAAATATTTCTTTCTTTTGTTCAGGTACAACTGAAACCTGAGGCCTTTCAATTGTACCTGAGGCTATCCATCCTGAGACAATGAAGAAGGATTCTTTGGTCCGTTGTATGAAAGGCAGCCTTAAGATCACGTCCGCTCTCTATGCGAGGTCTCTCTTGATGCTCACCTGCTGCAGCATTGGACTGGGTTTGGTCCCGAGTGGGTTGTGCGGCATGAACAGCAGCAGAGCCGGACCTTTACTCAGCTCGTGCTCTAGGAGGCGGGACTTAGTTCCTGGAGGCTGCAGCCATTGGAGGACGGTCTCGCGGTGTTCAAACACCCAGCTACATATGGCCTCTGACGTGAAGTTGCGTTCCCTTCGAGGGAAAATCTGACGCAAGAAAAAAACAAACGGGATTGTTAGCATTCATCCGAAATGAAAGTCAAATGTAACCAGCATTTCATGATTCCAACACCAGTTTCTTGGGGACAAATGCTTACCAATGAGGAGTTAAATCTTCTGTTGAGATAAACTGATTCATCTTCTTTAAGAGAGATGGCCTCGGCCACCTGCTTGTTGGTCACAACGCCGAAACGTACAACACCACGGAAATCTGCACCGGAAAAACATAGAGACTGAGGACTGGATTGGACATTTCTTATCCAGGGTACATGCAGGAATCCTGAAGTCAAATGTAATTCCTTTTAAGACCCTTTCCATACATTTTAAGACCTCATCGCCACTTCCAGTTCTAACCGGTTACCTTGGCGACACACTTTACCTCACATTTACTATATGCAATATTGATTGTCCTTCCTCCTTATCTTCCAACCATTTGGACGCAGACTTGCATTTCCCCATAACGATGTTGCTTAACAACCGGCGTAAACGGACCTTCACACGCTATCAAGCAGTGAGCGTGCGATGTCCTGTTCAGATGACGTCAAACCCAACGGGATGCCAGAAATAAACTACACAGAATCACACTACACACCTACGCAATGATTACATTCAGGCAGACGGTAGAATACAACCTCTTTGGACAATGTATATACTTATTGAAAACAAGCTACAAAATGTAATACCTTGGAAAATGCCGTTTAATATTTTAATAGCCTTCAATTTCGCTAAATTGATTTATCAACTTTTAATACTTTTTAAGACCCCGCGGACCCCCTGTTATTCCATATACTACTTACTGCTATTTTCAATCATATGCGTTTTCCAAAAGCGAGCCATATCTATCCTACATACTTGGCACACATACGACTCTACGATCTTCAGTACCGACTGATCATCATCTCTTACCCCTTTTCAGGGCCTGCAGGGCAGAGGACAGATACGTGATGTACCCCGGGGGCTGAGGAGAGGAGTTAAACTGGAAGAAGCCCACCACTCGAGGCTGGAAACAAACAAGAGACAGCCAATTAGAATACATCATATTGAAATATAGCCTTAGACAGTTTAACACTAAGGTTGATCCACAGATCTTATTTGAGCAGCTTGCATAACTGTAACTGCACACACTGTGAAGATCAAACTGACTTCCCATCAAATGGCCTGAAGTCAAACAGTACCTCGTGATAGGAGAGAAACTCTTTGAGTGCGTCTCTCGACGGGAGGTAAGTGAGCGGTGTGATGACTCGGAGGATAAAACTCTCCACATATGGAGCTACATACGGACCCTTGTACTCTATAGGCCCAAACCTGCAGCAAGGAAACACAAAGACAAAGCACATCGTGGATCAATAAGATGATCTCACACCAACAGCTCAAATGTACCAATCAAATGATTTTAAGGTTGTCTGCTACGTGAACTGATCATGAGACGAGACGCATAAACAATTTCTAATCATTGCCATGTGACAGATGAAAAGCAGTTCACTATCTAACTCTGAAACTGAAATGTCGATTAGTGTGCACTGTCCTGGTAAACAAATAAACAGGAATTGAATGGGTAAAAACCTGTAGTGAAAGTCCAGGGGAAAACACGGACACATTATCCACCTAAATATCACAAACAGTGAGATCAATGCTGCACAATATATAAGCTTCTTGCTTTTCAGGACAAAATGCTAATCATTTACTGGGTCCTGCTTCTTAAATGTAAGTATTTAGATTTTTAGATTTGTGTCCGAATGGAACTAGAAATGTGAAGATGTCAAGTTGGGAAAGTAAGAAAGTGTGTCAGCTAGTGTTCACGATGCAAACATTTTGGTTTCGATACCAAGTCAAGAATTGCGATTCCGATTCTTTATCGATACTTTTCTTAAAAAAAGGGAAACAGTCTTAAATGTAATTATTGTGCTTTATTTCACACCAGAACCATAACACAAACTTTTAAACAATGAGAACAATAAATAAAATAAATGACTAGAATTTGTATTAAATAAAATTAAGCATCATCTATAAACACATTTTTAGTTTTTTGCTTCTGGCGTCTTTTTTGTCAAGAGAGGGGAGGCACTTAGAACGTGCTTGAGAGGGGAGGGACTTAGAGCGTGCTTGAGAGGGGAGGCACTTAGAACGTGCTTGAGAGGGGAGGGGACTTAGAGCGTGCTTGAGAGGGGAGGGACTTAGAGCGTGCCTTGAGAGGGGAGGGGACTTAGAGCGTGCTTGAGAGGGGAGGGACTTAGAGCGTGCTTGAGAGGGGAGGGACTTAGAGCGTGCTTGAGAGGGGAGGGACTTAGAGCGTGCTTGAGAGGGGAGGGACTTAGAAGCGTGCTTGAGAGGGGAGGGGACTTAGAGCGTGCTTGAGAGGGGAGGGACTTAGAGCGTGCTTGAGAGGGGAGGGCACTTAGAGCGTGCTTGAGAGGGGAGGGACTTAGAGCGTGCTTGAGAGGGGAGGGACTTAGAGCGTGCTTGAGAGGGGAGGGACTTAGAGCGTGCTTGAGAGGGGAGGGGACTTAGAACGTGCTTGAGAGGGGCGGGACTTAGAACGTGCTTGAGAGGGGAGGGACTTAGAGCGTGCTTGAGAGGGGAGGGACTTAGAGCGTGCTTGAGAGGGGAGGGACTTAGAGCGTGCTTGAGAGGGGAGGGACTTAGAGCGTGCTTGAGAGGGGAGGGACTTAGAGCGTGCTTGAGAGGGGAGGGAACTTAGAGCGTGCTTGAGAGGGGAGGGACTTAGAGCGTGCTTGAGAGGGGAGGGACTTAGAGCGTGCTTGAGAGGGGAGGGACTTAGAGCGTGCTTGAGAGGGGAGGGACTTAGAGCGTGCTTGAGAGGGGAGGGACTTAGAGCGTGCTTGAGAGGGGAGGGACTTAGAGCGTGCTTGAGAGGGGAGGGACTTAGAGCGTGCTTGAGAGGGGAGGGACTTAGACGTACTTGAGAGGGGAGGGACTTAGAACGTACTTGAGAGGGGAGGGACTTAGAACGTGCTTGAGAGGGGAGGGACTTAGAACGTGCTTGAGAGGGGAGGGACTTAGAACGTACTTGAGAGGGGAGGGACTTAGAACGTGCTTGAGAGGGGAGGGACTTAGAACGTGCTTGAGAGGGGAGGGACTTAGAACGTACTTGAGAGGGGCGGGACTGCAGGCACGGCTGCAGTGCAGGGAGTGGAAGCAGAGCACTGAACACACACGGCTCTTATTAAAACAGCGCTTTCTCACCGGAGTACTTTTCCCCGTCATTCTTAAAGTACCGATACTAATGAAACGAAGGAATCGTACCGTTTTTAATGGCAGGGTATCGCGGTACCTTTCAAGTATCGGTACACCGTGCAACACTAGTGTCAGCAATAAGATGACTCATTTGGTGTCGTTATAAACGTCATTATGTATTTTTTAAACCACAGAAATCCTATTCATTGAAGCCAGAATGTCAAAGTGATAACTCTGAAGAGCGTCTTACCTTCTATAAAACAGGTGGATGATCGGGTACTGATAGAAGCGATTTTGCTTCCTACATTTCCCATGATTCCACCAACAGTTAACAGCTAGAAACTGCACCTGTGTGTGTTTGTTTAGAGAGAGAGAAAGAGATGGAACAACTATTTCCATAGCACAGATATAGTGTGGAGCATTGTCAGAGATACGTCCGTCCAGGCGGTATTCAGTCTCATTTACATAACACATTAGCATTAAGCTCTGAGCCTGAGGAACATCCAACAGTCAGACACATTCTAGTAAACAGGATTTTCACACTGAATTTAAAGATGGGTTTGACTTTATAACTCAGCAGATTTCTATAAACGTCACAATAACTGAGCTGCTCTTTGCGGCTGCTCTTTAGTCAGCGTGTTTAGACTATTCTCAAAACATTACAATTACTACTGTTGTCTTTGAAAACTATATTTACTCTCGTACATGTATTCTTTAAACTCATAAGCATGTCACTATAACAACGCATGTTCTGCTACCTTATCAGTGATCATACACACGCGCTGTAATGAATGGTGCCATGCAGAGTGCACGTTGTGACCCCTCAGGTGTCCTGTACCTGTTTAGCGAGCTTCTTAGCCACCTGCTGCACTTCCTGCCTGGCAGCCATGGAGTGAGCACACCACGGTGCATAGAAGAAGATCAGAGAAACCTCCGCCACGCTGCGGAGACGCTCCACCTGCAGAGGAGATGTTAAGGTTATTGATAAGTTATTGACTTTGCTAGGTTGTAGTTCTCAATGAATGCATTAGTATTATTAAGGACTGACAATTGAAGTACTACTTTAAAGCAGATGTGTGCCTCTTGGTGTAAAGAAGTGGAATTCTTTACTGAATGATTTAAAGGGCTGTAAGAATTTTTTTATATTTAAGAAAAAGTATAAAGAAAGCGTATTTAGACCGTATGAAGTTGACTGTGTTCTGGTTTTATGTTTCAGTATTTGTAAGCAACTGTGACTGAAAGAATATTGCTTTTATTTTGCTTTTTAATGGTTATTTCATTTGATTGATTTATTTGTTATTTTTTTGTAAGAAGGCGCAGGTCAATTAAGATTGTCTTCCCTCTACTCCTTTCCACCATGCGCTATAACAAATAAAAAACCAGTACAAGTGTACATGTCTTGTTTTAAAATAACTGACATGTGGAAAAAACAAATAAATACAATTTAAAAAAAAGTACTTTGAGAAACTATTAGCCGACTCAGCGAGATGCAGACACGTTATTATTTAAGGCAATGGCAAACTAATGTGCATGTGAGTTGGGGAGCAGTCAGGTGAAAGCTACATTAGGAAACATTCGAGTAAGATTCACGCGCAGGAAATGTAATGAAGACTACATGTAAGCCGTATGTACTCTGCAGCCTTATCATGTTGCTCCCTTGTTATGGCTGTCCTCATATCCATTCAACAAGTAGATATTACTAAATGTATTGGAGTACATGTCAGGAACACTTGACTCCGGTGTGTGTGTGTGTGTGTGTGTTTCTCACCTGGTCTAGCTGACCCAAGTACAGATCCACTATCGGGGCCTCGGCAGAGAAGAACCGCACCGGAGGCCGAGCTGCTGCCACCACATTCTTAGCACGGCTACAGGGAGGACAGAGTTCAATGTAAATACAAAACAATTAGGTTCCCTCTATCAAGCCAAGCACTTCGCCTCTGGGGTTGACGGGCAGGATGTGTGATCATTCGTATACAATATGCATTCAATCCAAAGATAAGTTAAGATGGAAAGTATGTGCTGTTAAGTCAGTGCTCTTATGAATTGTTAATCGATGAATAAGTCAGTGGACAGAAAATGAATCACTGACAAGTTTGACAACTCTTTATTGGATTGGATTTATTTAGCCAACATACCACGAGTTATCAGGTAGCTTTCTTTATTGTTGTAATTTAAATCCATTTAGGTTTTGGACTTTTGATCAGACAACACAAGCACTTTCAAAATGTATTATTACTTGCGATGGAGTTATGTTTACAATAAATGGGTATACAATATATTTAAGATCAGCTGCAGATCATGGAGACCTCAACTGGTTTATGGCTGCAACTAACAATTATTATAAATTCATGTTTTGTTCAGGAAACAGTCCAGAACCCAAAAATAATTCTTCTTTGTACTATAATGATTAACAAGGAACGCTCCTTTGACTTGAAGAGCTGAAACTAGATACTGATTAATAAAGACAAATGATTGACCAAAATAATTGATTTGACTTATTGTTGTCACCTCTTTAGCTGCTAATACTTGTTTGACTTGTACTTCAATAACAACTTGAACTTCTGACTTAAATGTTTACAATACTCATTCTTCCCCCACAACCAGCGAAGCAGGATGTGTCTTAGATCATTTGTTTGTTATTTGGTTCAAGTTTCTGTCTCCCCAGCTGCACCTCCACAGCTGGCCTCACATGAACATACATGTGTTGTTTACTACAGAGTTATGACGTTAACACTGTTGACTTAAGAGTCATGTACAAATACCGACGCTCAACCCGTATTAAAACTAAGAAATTAAAGGTATGATAGACTCCTGGGAAAAGGACTGTCTGTTTAAAGTGATTATAGCATTAGTTAATCCTCCTGTCCAGCAGTACACGCCAGTATTAGATTAACTCCACAGCATTATGAAGACCCTAATTACTTACAAGTAGCTACATTGTAATTAGGTGTAGCTAATTTACGACTTTTCAATGCTACAACATGTATCTCTGAGCGAAGTAACCCACATGTTCAGTCAGTTATGGTTGCCTCATGTTAGCCTGGTGGTCACAAAAACACACTATAAACTAAGTGTATGTTAAGGCAGCTAAGTGTGTTACCTGCATGTGAACTTGACGGCCAGTACGAGCAGCACTCCGAGCAGCACAGACCCGCAGAGCAGCCCTGGTCTCCGGGCCATCAGAAACAGCACCTGCCGGAGAGAAGACTGCCGCACCCGGCGCAGCATTACAGGCGGTCAGCGGCTCTCGGTCCCATTTATACTCCCCGGCTTACGGCTCTCTACGCGTCCATTTGCCTACCAAGGGGCGGAGAGGAGGACTGGTTCGACGGGGAGGAGGAAGGAGTTAACCTGGATTGGACATAGGTGCTGCTGGTATTCAAACACGGTCACACCAACCTTTCTTTCCCACGTAGACTTTTCACTTCCGCAACAATGACGTAAGGGAGGGACCGTCAAATGTTGTTAGCTGTTTAAAGCGCACGGTGCATTACAAAATTAAGGACATATGGGTAGAATAACATACGGTATTTTGGTTGAATGAGAAATGAACGGGTTTATATAATTATAATGCTTTAATATTTGGACATATATTGTGTTTTTAATAGTTTTTTCGTGTTGAGTCTTTCTTGCTGTTTTGAGACAGTCCCTACGTTGTTGTAGTGACAGCCGTTGCTGCCATGACGATGGTCGAACACTAGAGGGCGGTCGTTTAAAGCAAACGGTGCATTTAAAAATCAAGGAGAAGTGGGTGAAATAAAATAGGGTACTTTGATGGAATGCGAAATAAAGTTGTAAAAATGTATCATGTTTTAAAAACTGCAATATAACTATATTTGTATTTATTTTTTGCGTATCGAGGCTCTCCCTGCTGTTTCCAGACAGTCCCTATTGTTGTAACTACAGCCGTTGCAAAACGACCACGGTCGAACACTAGAGGGCGGACGTTGTAAAGTTCTCAATCAATCAAATCGTTTTAAATAAGATTAAAGTTATGATTCATTATTTTTTATTACATTTATTAAAAATGACTACAGTGACACCTTCATTGGCAATGACAATCTTGGATCTAAGGCTCTCTCCAACAATGCCTGGTAAATATATATAAATTGGCGGCCTATAGGAAACATACGGAAGAGGATTAGGGCCACATAAAACATTTTTTTGTGAGGATTTGAAAAAAATATTATTATTTTTTGTTCTGAGAAAAAAGTCAGAATTCTGAGATTAAAGTCAGAATTCTGACTTTTTTTCTAAGAACAAAAAAACATTTTTTTTTTTGGGAGAAAAAAGTCAGAATTCTGACTTTAATCTCAGAATTCTGACTTTAATCTCAGAATTCTGACTTTAATCTCAGAATTCTGACTTTAATCTCAGAATTCTGACTTTAATCTCAGAATTCTGACTTTAATCTCAGAATTCTGACTTTAATCTCAGAATTCTGACTTTTTTCTCAGAACAAAAAAAAACATTTTATTTGGGAGAAAAAAGTCAGAAATACCGGTAACTGTAGAACCAGCTTCACTGCGATTTACACATTGCAGTAGGCAACAATGGAGGACGTGAGTGCATTTCTGCGCGCCAGAGGGGTCCAAGAGGAAACCATAATAAGTCATTTTACAACCATCTGCAATGTGTAAATCGCAGTGAAGCTGGTTCTACAGTTACCGGTATTTCTGACTTTTTTCTCCCAAATAAAATGGTTTTTTTTGTTCTGAGAAAAAAGTCAGAATTCTGAGATTAAAGTCAGAATTCTGAGATTAAAGTCAGAATTCTGAGATTAAAGTCAGAATTCTGACTTTAATCTCAGAATTCTGAGATTAAAGTCAGAATTCTGAGATTAAAGTCAGAATTCTGACTTTTTTTCTCCCAAAAAAAAAAATGTTTTTTTGTTCTGAGAAAAAAAGTCAGAATTCTGAGATTAAAGTCAGAATTCTGACTTTTTTCTCAGCTTCCTCACAAAACATTTTTTTATGTGGCCCTAATCCTCTTCCGTAGAAACAAATAACATGTACATGATTAAAAGCTAAATTAGCATTTTAGGCATCAAATCATTTGATTTACCTTGCATGTGACGTAAACTACCCTTCTGGGAATTATGAAACTGTGTGGACAGCTACTAGAATTTGAGAAGAAAGGCATTTGTTTAATATTATACATTTTAAATAGTTCACATAGCATCTCCAGAGCCTTGTTGATATTGTCCTTATAAACATTTTTATCTTGTGTTTAAATGACGGAAATGACCATTTCACGAGAAAATAATCCACACAACCCGATAGCATTATTTAAAAATCTTTATTTGTTGTCATTATAGAACATTAAAGAACAGAATCACAGTGTATAACTCTTAAGTGCAAACAAACAATGTAATAAAAAAAATAAAAGTATTTGATTAGCTCTACCTACCCGTCACATGGAAATGTATACTGCAAACAAAAGGTTTCTGAACAATAAAAAAGGAATGTGCAACACAATATTTGTCAGCAAGTACAATCTGCTCCGAACAGTTTCTACTTAAAATCATAGGAATTAGAACATATCTTGATAAGCATCTTCATTTTTTTAAGACCATATGTTTTATTTCAATGCTAAATGACACATGAATAGAGTGCCACAGTCACGCGTCCTAAAACCCGGAAGTAAACTCTTTCCGGTTCCTTCGACAAACAGCAATGCAATGTCTCCATAGGATTTTGGAAAATAGCTGGAAATAAGGTCTGTGGTTGACACACATTGAACAGACAGATCACGTTTTGTTCAGCCGGATAACATCCACATGTCTACCCTACTTTTATCATTTTCTAATCATAAATCTATCGATCATAAATCTATCGATTATTTTCCAAAATCCTATGGAGAAATTGCATTGGTTTTTGTCGAAGGAACCGGAAGTGGTAAAATGCTAACTTACTTCCGGGTTTCAGGACGCGTCACTGTGGCAAAGTGAAATGGGCATCTTGACTTCCTGAATCGCGCTTCGTTGTTGAACATTTGTTCATAAAGACGCCATTTTTGTTTTTCTTCACATCAACTGTAAAGCCTGAGGTTTCCGTCAGGCTGCAGAACTACAAGCCTCAACATTTGACACATTTCACAACCATATCACCAAACCTCGCATGGGGAATTTCCCGAGAGCTCTGTGGCACTAGGACTGCATATAAAGCCAGGACTGCACTACAATGATTTAAATTCATGCCAAATAAGGATTTCTATACAGTACACGTATAACACTGCTTAATTCAAACTTTTTTTAAAATTATTTTGAGCCAGCAGTTTTTTATTTTAATTTGTTTTGGATTACATTTAATAAAAGAAGCCAGACAAAAATGTATTTACTGATGTTTTAGTCCACCTTCAGGCAGCATATGCATCAAAAAAGCTCTCCTCTCATCGGACTACAGCCCTCTCTGTGCTACAAAGCGTTCAGAAAATTACTTAAGAGGCCAGGCAATTTCTTAACTGCCCTCTCGACGATCGAGGCAATGTGGTTTGTGAATGCACTGTGCACGCAGAGAGAAATCACTGCAGTAATCAATAACATCACAGATATTTCAGCGATTCTCATCTTGTTGGTTTTGTTTCTTGTACAAAAGCCTCTCTTGTTCCACATGGCAGCCATCCAGCAGAGTCAAGCCTTGGAAGCCAGAAAACTTCCTTGCCAACAGCGAGTAAGCCAGTCTCATGTGAGTATACTGCTGAAAATAAACGCCCTCTCCTCTTCAGCAACTCTTGATATTTGCTGTGAACTGTATGGTATTAATGGAGCACTGTCAGCATGCAGTTTGTTACAGAGCCTGCGTTTCTGGGTGCATTAGCTGCTGCACCACCAGGTCTATATTAATGATGGGACTAAAGTACAGAGCCCAGTAGAAGAGGCAGTTGCACACAAACTGAGGGAAAAAAGGCCACAGGAGGGCGAAGGCAAACCCCTGAGAGAGCATCTTCCACAAGTGGTTCCACATCTTGCGTGGCATAGCCCTAAGGAGAGAGGACCATAGAAGTTAGTGAATAAAGTCTTCTCCACCTCCGAAACTATAACTTCATTTGTAGCTTTAAGAGAACAGAGTATGCTTATTTTCAGGTTGTATTTTGTGCTTCTACTGTGACATGTTTACATGCTTTAATGTTCAAAACATGTTTTATTTTTCTCATACTGCAGCACTTCTTTTCACCCTGTATGTAACCAGGACGTAATCTACTCTTTTTCCAAGTGTCCTTACACACAAGAGGCGACTTAAAATGTATTTAAAAACATAAAAAGACAGAACATAAAACCCCCTGCCAAGTGTTTACCTGATGCTGGCTCTCGCCCAGAGTCTCCACAGTGCGCAGCCCTCCAGCACAGACAGCAGCATGGCGTTCACGATGATGAAGCGAGACGTCCAGTAGTGCACGGCCAACCAGTCCCAGGCAAACTCTGCTATCAGCTGGTACGGGAGCAGGAGGTACTTCACAAGAAACTCTCCCCACTGCCGCCAGCTGGGCTCCATCTGACAAACACAGAAACATCATATGAAACAATTAAACTGGTATGAATGTTAAATATACGAGTAGAAATAAATTGTACAGTAATTAAATATCCTGCATTATATTTGTTACTGGAAATTTGTATTTTTTTTTATTTGTAATGCTATTTTACTTATATTTCTGAAATATTTTTGGAATGTTTATTTGTTGTGTCTTAATTTCTCTTATGTACATTGCCTTGTGTTTTATGCTGCTGCAATGCAAACATTTCCCAAATTGGGATCAATAAAGTATCTATCTATCTATCTATCCATCTATCTATCTATCTATCTATCTATTTATCTAAATCTAGTTACCTCAATGAAGTACATTATATTTACATGTAAGTGGACAATCAGATGTTAAATCAAGATAGTCGTTGATGTGATATTTTTGTCGGAATAAGGTTACAACACATCATTGAGTAGTGCCTATTTAACATTTCCAAAATATTCTTATTTTTTATTTCAGTGTGTGATCATGGGGAAAGATGACCTGAAACCCCAACTTTGAAGAGGACCTAAGAGAAGGATACACCAAGTTTGCAAAGTGTCACCTGTGTGTTGAGGAAGCTGCTCTCCACTGACTGTCCGATGTTTGTGATGGCCGGACAGCAGGTGTGCAGGAAGGGCAGGAAGGTTTCCGAGTAGTCGAATAAATACAAATAGAAGAGTGTGAGGCGGGGGGAGCGCTTCAGCGCGTACAGCAAGAATAGCGACTTCCCCGCATTAGTAACCTGGCAGAACGTAAGAGAAGAACAGGTATATAGAGTAAGAGGACAGTCATTTGTGTGAGAAATATGACAAATACTATCTGGAGATTCAGTGAACTCTTCAATAGGTTTCACACAGGAGTACTTTTCCCAGTATAGTTCCGATAGTTCTTGAAATGTTGCGTTCACACCAAAACAATTCGGAACTAGAACTTAGTTAATGAGAACCTTTTCCCCCCCTTTTTAGTCCCTGCTAGAGAGGTGGTACTTTCCTGGGGAGGAAAAGGTTCCCATTTCTGATTGGCTGGGCGGATTGCAAACCACGCCCCCGTAAAACTTTTGTGAAGCCGCCATTGTATTTGCTGGCATTAGCATTATTAGCATTAGCCCAGCGCACCAACGGAGAGAGACTAACTTATGGCAACACAAAAGAAAATATGGGAGCGGTGGAGATGAGGAGGTGTCGGCGTCCTGGCGATTTACTCGGAAGGCTTCAGTAGAAGCTGCTGGGACTCCCAGCAGCTTCTACTGAAGCCAGTCCCCAACACCGGGGACTTCCGGCCGGGGACTTCGGGTGGCAGTATACGACGTGAAGTTCTTTGCGGTCTGCCAGTAAACTCAAAGCAGAAGAAGAAGAAGTGACGTTAGCGGCTTCATTTGCCTAATCCTCCCCCAGGAACTCATTCCGGTGTGAACGCGATCTGTACTTAGTTCATCAGAACTACTAGCAGACCAGACTGTTTACCTTGTATTCCCAGAGGTTCTGTGGAGGTTTGACTCCAAGGGTTTTCACTCTGTCCAGTTCAGCCAGAATAGCCCGGCGGTGAGCCTGGTTGTCGATGCTGTAAGGAGCCTTCAACAATTCTTCATCCCCCAACATCAACAGCAACCTAAAGCAGAGAAAACAACATAATGACACACAACATGAGATTATGTTTTTCTCTCAAATGCAGGGTGACCTTTGCAACCTCATCAAAGAACTACATTTAGAAGACGAAACATTCGGAATCAATACAGCTCATATCAGTTCTATTTTGCAGTGTATAGTTTAAGCCCGGGTCACACTGTCCCGAAATTGACACCAGATGGACACACGATATGGAAAGGAAATGTTCAAATTCGGCTCTGATCGTAAGAACATCGGGCCATTCGTGAGGGCATCTTAAGCCATCGTATGACCACTGGTGGAGTTTCTCAGGCTCCGGCAGCAACTTCGTGAGCGGTGGCAAAATCTTTGGCATGCCAAAAAATTGTCGAAGGTTCATTTTCGTGTTGAATTCGTCTGTCCATTTTGCCCTTCGTAAGGCCATCGTGAGGGCATCTTGTCAAATCGTGTCATCTTCGTCTTTACTTCGTGTGATCATCGGTGCCATCGGGCATTTTTCGCCTCAGAAAGACAATACGAAGGAAACAAGAGGCTGCCCGATTGTGTTAGGAAGGCAACACGACTACGTGAATGCAATGCACCACATCAAGGTGGAACGCTCTTCCCACAACTGTAAAGGAAAGTAAAACTATACTTACCTTCAAAACCTCTCTTAAAGAGCACCTTCGGGGGAGAGCATTGCAAAACTGGCCCCGGTAATGGTACAAATCTCAACCTGTCGTTCAATGGACAGCTTCCCCCCCCCCCCATCTATGTATATACTCGCATTTTAGACTCTGTTACTAACTGTATATCTGTAGACTTGGTATGTCTTAAATGTCCGGTTAGGATGTATTAGAACGAAATCTAAAATGAAAATTGTAAATAAGCAATCTGTATGTAAAAAACCACCTGTATGTAAATTGTAAATAAGCCATCTGTATGTCAAATATGTCTTATATGACATGATGAATTGGAAATGGGGGACCCTGATGTAAACAAGACGAAAGTCTTTCTCTGGTCTGCATCCCCTTAACAATTGTATGTTTTGAGCTGTGCTGTACTGTACCCAATATACAAGCTGTTAATACACTTTTCAATCAATCAATCAATCAATGCCGTCGTGTAGCCATCGTATTATAATACAATTTGTGTTCTGTGAAACTGAAAAGGATATTACATTGTTTTTGTTACTTTCGTTGCAGTTGTATGTCTTAAATGTAATTTAGGTTAACTTCCTGTTTTATTTAGATGCTTTTATTTTGAAGGCGAGTTTACGCTGTTGACAGGAAGTTGTCGTTGCTATGGAAACAACATGACGGATTGTGTGGTTCGGGTGGCCTTCTGTAGGCATCGTACTTGCTTCGGCTGTTGCTTGGCTGTTGACCGAGTTCGGGGCCATCTTCGTGTGTCCATCTGGCGTCAATTTCGGGACAGTGTGAAGCCAGCCTTAGAAAAGAAACAAAAATGTTGCTGAAATAAAATGTAATTTCTCTACCTCCCGTTGACGCTCTCCTGCTGGAAGGGCTCTCTGTAAAGCTGAGCCCAGGGCCCCAGGAGCTCCAGCCAGGACACCACGTCCTCCGGCGTCCAGTGAGACACGGGTTTACTGATCAACATGTCCTGCTGCTCCATCACCCCGCTGCTCCAGTGGTACACCAGCACCATCACCTGCAAACACACACACATTAACAAACAAGGTACAGTTTACATGCCGTTTATCACACGAGAAAGCATTATGGGTAAAAGCGTCCTTGGGTATATGAAAGGCGCTCTATACATACAAGTAATCATTATTATTATTATTATATTTATTATGTTTGGATGCTAAGAAAATATGTATTTCACATGGCAAGGTTATTCTACAGTACATCTTATCGCTGCTCTGACACCTGAATTCTTCCTACTAATTAATAAAGGTTTATCTTATTTGATCCAGTTACAGTGAGTGAAGTGAAGTGCTATATAAATAAACTTGCCTTGCCTTGCAGTGTCTTGCATACGACAACCATGAAAACAATGGAAATGGGCGCGCTTAAAACGCTCATGTGTCGTTTCAAAGAAGAAATAAAACAATCCTAAAAACCAAAAACCTCCTGTGTATCACAATGTGCTGCAGCTTTTGTATCTCGAGAACTTTGAAGAAAAAAAATTAGTTTTAATTATTGAAATCAATGATTATACCAGGTAGTTTCATACCGGGACTTTTTTTCGTGCTTTTACCCAGCAAGATGACACCTTTGGTAAAATCAGCATACATCATAATTAAAGATAAACCGTACAAATCTCAGTTTCTAAGGAACATCATTTCCAGTACAGTTCATGTGAGCCAATAAAACAAAAAGCCAAAATCATCCCAAACAAACAGATTATTTGCACACAGGTCAAGGCTGCCTCCACCAAAATATATACACACACACACACACACACACACACACACACACACACACACACACACACACACACACAACACACACACACACACACACAACCACACACACTACACACACAACACACACACACACACACACACACACTACACACAACACAACACACACACACACACACACACACACACACACACACACACACACACACAACACACACACACACACACACACACACACACACACACACACACACACACACACACACACACACACACACACACACACACACACACAACACACACACACACCACACACACACACACACACACACACACACACACACACACACACACACACACACACACACACACACACACACACACACACACACACACACAACACACACACACACACACACACACACACACATTACTGCCACGTAGCCAGACACACAGTAACGCTGCTCCAAAGTGCCACATGAACAAAATAAACATGGTCTGTCTACATGACATGAAGCACCGACCTCCGCATCCAATACTGTGCTAACTTGTAAATAATACACACCACTGTAGTTAAGATAAATAACCTAAAAAAAAAGTGTAATTTTGAACGCTATAATTATAATAGTTACGTTTACAAGACTCTCCTAATATCATGAAGCAGGAAGAGGGACATAATGTATAATAAATAATATTGATTCTTGCGCACCATTGCAAAGTAGTCTTTTATACATACTGTATATTAAGGAGTATGAATCTAATTACCAATCAAGTTATGTTAGGCAATCATCAAGCTCATAATATAACTTGTTTAACAATATATGTCTTTTTACTGTTAAACACACAGGTTTTTAAGTCAAACAACCAAAAAGATTTACATTTTTTACATCATTTCTATTTTCCAAGGAGAAAGAAAAAACGAAATGACATTGTTTACAGTAAAAAAAAAGAAAGTGTTCAATAAGGTTACTTTTTCATGGTAACCTGTGGATAATTGTGCCATGTCAATAAATCAATAGAAAACCCTAAAAACTCGATGAATCTGATGAAAGTAAAAGTGTCAAGCACAGGTCAATGGCACTGGTAAGAATGCAGCAGGGCAGCAAACTGGTTTAGGGCCAGTTACCATTTAATGTTCACAAAAAACTTTTTTTACTGATGTTAAGTACTTACAGCCACACACGTGAGTGCCGTCAGGACTCCAGAGAAGAAGAAGCCCGCTCCTTTGTGCTGGTTTGGCTTGGATCTACCTAAGTTGTCACCATACCTAAAAACATGTAGATATATTTGTCAGACCAGGTAGAAAAGGTATTAAATACAAGTAAACAGATTGAAAAGACACTAGGGCAAAAAAATCCTCAGAGGGATCTCCATTCACGTTGCATGATGGGTAATGTGTGCACTAGGTATTGAGAAGGAAAAGTGTGGAATAAAAACCATATTTCTCGTTCTGCTGAATCCATTTTAAGCATTTTTGTTTTAAACCGTCCATTGTGAGTCTGACAATGTTACCAGAGGGCTCTAATAATTATGTGGAGTGCTCATTCCGTGTATACTAGGTTTACACACTGTACCAAAGATTAGATTATACAGTACTACCTCTGAAAGGCCAGCAAGCTCCGGGAGATTTTGGGGTTGTCCTGGATCTCCGCTCTCCTCCGCTGAACCACCTCAGTGAACAGCTTGTCAGTTGCATCCCTAGAGATAAGAACATTCGATTAACAACAGCCAATAAAACCTTAAAAATACTTTGTGGGTAGCGACAGGAAGGTGTATTATATCATATCAAAACTCTCTATTAGAGCTGAGTATTAGCCTACTGAAAGAAAATGAACCTCCAACTATAGTGTCAATTAATTCAGTTAATTTTCAAGCAGAAATAAATAACTGGAATTGTATTTGTAGGAATATAATTTCTGCCAGACATTTTAAAGACGTGGCCTTGGGCTCTGGAATACAGCAATGGAAAAACTGTATGTGAGACATGCGAGTACTGTGCTCAGAAAGACAAACATTCATCGCATGATATGATCTGGCCGTGAATAGCATACCTCAGCAGTATGTTTATTTTAGGAAAGCCTGCCCACTTCTCCCGGCACTCTGGGCACTCGTTCTTGTGAGAGGACTCCCACCACAGAGCCAGACAGTGGCGGCAGAAGTTATGGCCGCACGTCAACGTGGTGGGGTTCACTAAGATGTCGTAGCAACAGTGGCACGAGAACTCATGTTCTGAGATGTTGGTGGTGGAGGGCATCGACTGAGAAGACTCAGATAAGTAAGGGAGGGCCTCCATTGATCCTCCAAGACCGTCATCTGATGAATCCCACTCCATCTGGTGCAACAAATCCAAGTCTGAATGAGAAGAGGAACAATGTTCAAAGAGAAGTGTCTAAACGTTTCTCAGAGGAAACCTGCAATATAAAGTTTGTACCATGATTATTTAACGGTTCTCCGATAAATTACTTGACTTTCAATCATCTCCAAACAATATGATTAAGCAATGTCCTGAGGTGTACATACATTACACTTTAAACAGTAAGAGGTGGAAGTAGTGAAGTAATCATATGTTGTACTTAAGTAAAAGTACCAGTACCAGAGTGTACTGCAGTCCTGTATTGCAAATATTACTCAAGTAAAAGTATAAAAGTATGAGCATCAAAATATACCCAAAGTAAAAGTAGTCATTCTGCAGATTGGCCCATTTTGTTATCATATATATTATATGTTTTGATTATAATTATCGATGCATTAATGAGTTTATCAAAGCTTATTCGAATGACTTTGTATACTGCTGGTAGCTTGTGAATTTACTTAGATACTTTACACCACTGCAGCTAACGTTTAATTAGCTGATCTCAAACTGATCTGGACCAGGAATCTGGACGTTAGCTGTACTGTAACCAGTAAGCTTTTCACTAGCATTTCATCAACATTGTCTGCCATTAAAATCAGAAAAACACTCGTATATTACAGATAACAATATGTACCATCGTTAGCTTTAAAACTGATATGCTAGTTAGCACGTAAATGGTACCTGACGCTAGCATAACAGAAAGTGAGAGTAACACAACATAACCTGACATTCAACAAGATGACAGTTTTACCTCGTCTCAGAAATGGCCTTTGCTGGAGGATGACATCTTGTTAAAATATCTTCAGTGTGATTATCGGAAGGTTATCCTGCATCGAAACGTCCGCAGATGAGATGAATATCCTGCCGGAGGAGCTGTCACCATGGCTCTGCGCCGTGCTCGCTCCCGTGTAGAAAACCCCAACCAAGCACACGCTTACGTCACCGCGTGACCGTGCGGGTTCATGATTGATTTGAAGTGGCTGGATCACATCAGAGCCATATATGGCTCTGGATCACATGACCTTTTTAAACATGAAATCTCACAAAGATATTAAAAAAGGAAGTGAACACATAACACGTCCTGTACCTTTGTGTGTGTTTCTTTTTTAAAGCAGCAAACAGAACATCTTTTTTGCGTCATTTACAAAAAAAGATTCAAGTCTTATATGATAATGTTTTAAAAAAGCAATATATTTTATATTTATGGTTCTGACAGGCAATCAGTGGTCACCTAGATTTCCAATTCTACGTGGCACACGGCAAGGCTGCCCTGTCTACGCGCTTCTGTTTGCAATTTCTTTAGAACCGCTTGGACAGAAAATAAGACTATCCAAAGAAGTAAAACAGATAGTTGTAAAAGACACAGACCACAACATTTCGTTATATGCGGATGATCTACTCCTGTACTTGGACGAGGTACCAACTACGCTTCCTAAGCTGTTAAATATTTTTACCCAATTTAGTTCAATATCTGGTTACAAGATCAATTTGAATAAATCATGTATTTTACCCCTCAATAGTGCCATGGTTGAACTAAACTTAAATACAGAATTGCAGATTGTCCAACAATTTAAGTATTTGGGAATTGATATATATGCCTGATTAGACACAATAGTAGCAAAAAACTACAAAAGAATGTATACAACAATTAAAGATGACCTAAAAAAGTGGATTAATATAACAATTTCTTTAGCAGGACGAATTTCAATCATAAAGATGAATGTTCTACCAAGAGTCAATTTCTTAGCTAGTATGTTGCCTTTATCTCCACCAGACGGTTTCTGGGACAAACTTCAGAATAGGATTTCATAATATATTTGGAAAAACCAATACCCAAGAATCAGATACAAAGTTTTACAATATGACAAAAACAGTGGAGGCCTTAATGTTCCCAATCTAGAGCTCTATTATTATTCCTTCACGCTTCGAGCCTTAAAAAACTGGATTGATGAAAGCACCAATGTACCTTGGATTAAAATTGAAAGAAGTATAGTCTATCCCTTTAAACTTGGTGATGTCTTATTTTCTGCCATGTCGCCATATGACTGTATGCAAACATTTGGACCAATTATTGGGCAAGCCGTGAAAGTGTGGAAACATGTGGAGAAATTGTGCAATTGGTCTGTAGATTGGCATAGTAACATTTTTCATAACCTGTTACTACGTATTGGGAAAAAAGCAATCCAATTCCCACAATGGCAAACCCGAGGAATACATTATCTTTCTGACTTAACCAACGACAACGGCTTGATGTCCTTCCAAGAATTGAAAGATACGTATAATGTGCCTGGCTCTTCCTTCTTTTTCTATTTACAACTACGTACTGCCATGCGCACATATGGAGTTCCTTGGAATCAACCTCTGCCAACACATCAATTGGTTAAGGTCATATTAAGTCCAAACAGTGTGAGCGGCACTACTTCATATATATATATATATAAAAAACTGCAAGATAAATTAACCGGATATATTGGCATCTCTGCAGTATGGAACGCAGATCTAAAAAATTATACGCAGACTATTGATTGGAAGAGAATATGGAATAATATCTCCTTAACATCGCGTAACCACAATCACCAATTGATACAGTATAAAATGATACACAGATATTACCTGTCAACCAGAAAATGCTGTCAATTAAGGATGATTCCAAGCCCCATATGCCTTCTCTGTAACCAAAAGACTATTGGCACATATGTACACATGGTTTATGAATGTACTGCAGTAAGAACGTTCTGGAAACAGGTTATTGACATTGTATCTGAGATTATTGGAGTTCACATACCCTGTCTCCCAAATATTGTATTGTTGAATGATGATTCTTCTCTTGATCTACAGAAACATCAGAAAAGGGTGCTTTTCGCTGGTCTAACAGCAGCCAAAAAAATAATAGTAATACGATGGAAACCCCCACATACTTTATTTATTAAGCAATGGATATCATCCTTCCATGACCTACTAATTTCAGAGCTGTCAATCACTTCTGCTAATAAGGCTAAGGGGGAAACATTAGAGGCTATTCAAAGAGCTGCTGATCGGGTAATATCATTCATGTAAATGATGATTGTACATATACGCACACCTTGGTGCAATTGTGGTTTATTAGGAGTTAATCGCAATTCAGCTTAAACAGATTAAATGTTATGTGGAAAAAAAAAAAAAGGAATGAATGTATTTTATGTGGATAAATTGATATGCTATAAATTGTTATGCTATAATATATATATAATATATAGATGAACTCAGACGATTGCTAAAAAACATCAGGTAGGATTTTCTGTGAAATGGCAAGATGGGTGGGAAGAGGGGGGGACGGGGTGGCATGGGAAAGGGATTCATATTTTTTTTTTTCTTTCTTTCTTTTTTCTTTTTCTTTTTGTATTGTCTATATAATTTGTATCTGTATAAGTCCCTTTTGTGAGGGCAAAAAAAAAACAAAAAAAAAAACAACAACAATAAAAAGTTGGTCACAAAAAAATATTAGCAGGAAAAATGAAGAGCAGCTGATTTGAAAAAACAAACGCGAGAGGCGGCTGAGTGACCACAGTGCAGAACCACTGTATAGTTTAAATCTCCTAACAATGTTGTCCGTTTTAGACATAGGCTTATTATATTTACAGCCCTTAATAACATCCATTTTCTGGGCTCAACATCTGTCTTGGCCGTTTTCGTTGTGATCGCGAAATTCCCCTTGTTTATAATAATCACCGTTCCTTCAGCAGGATACTGTAGTGATTCAAAGTGTGATTTTAGCAAACGAGTGCTTTTGTTTTGAAATCACTTCCGTGAGTTTCGCCCCGCCCCTCGCTTCAAGGACAATTTGACCATTTAGTAAGGTAAAAACATAGGGTAAAAAGCAAAAAGCAAAAACGCCTCTCAGACGCTCTTCCGTTTACGTGTCTAAAAAAGAAAAACAATTGGACGGTAGATACACGGATTATTATATTATCATTAGATTGATTAATAATTGATTTTCTGTTATATGTCAGAGGGAAATATTCAGAGATTCAAAGGCTTTATTGTCATATGCACAGTAGCTACAGTGTAGTTATTATCTTAAGTCCCAGGCTCCTCCATTAATGCAACATAAACATGTATATAAGATATAAAATAATAGACCAAATGTAAAGAAATAATGCACATAAAAATAGTGCAAGAAATGACAGATTGAGATAAAAAAAAATGCAAGAGAATGTTGCAAGACTGATGAGCAAGTAATGCTAGAGAAGTTATTATATACATGTAAAATAGAATAAGATGTGCTATAATTTACTCCACTTTAGTTTGACACTTATTGCTACTCTTTTGTCTAGAGTATTCTTAGGTTTATCTAAGTAGAGTATTTTTTCAACCACTGTCTATTTTCTTAAGGGATAAACCTGAATGTTATGGAGTGGTGTCGCCAACTTCCTGAAAAGAAAAATGATTATTTTTAAATTAAATGGAAAGTAGTCTGGAAATAAGAAAAGTATAACATTCTATCTTAAAAAGAAAAATGGACAACTTTCCTGCAATAATTTTATGAATTGAAATAAAATAGCACCATATGCTTAACTAATATTTAAAAACAAGTCTGTGAATCTGTTTGTACATCAGTATTTGAACATGTGTATGATAAAGAAAGTGAAATGTGTGCCTCCAGCAGCAGTAGAAGAGGACAGAGGAAGATGTCGTCTATTTTCTTCCTCAGTGATGTTCAAACCAACTGTTGTCTGCCATGTGGCGTTTAAAATATGCTTCAGTGCAAAGTTCAGATCAGATTCTGGACTGAACTTATCATGAGGTATTCCTGACCTTGATAATAACAAACAGTAACCTATTAACTTTCACGTTGGCTCTGCAGGTACAGGAGACACCTTCCAGGGGCCACCACTCCCTAGATTCCCTTGATATCATGGTGAACTAAAGTAAATACTAGTTGTCTTAATTATCATTATTATAAAACACACATTTACACGGTTTTAGTACTTTACTTAAGTATTTTCAATGGAGGAGTTTTACTTGTAATGGGGTATTTTGACAGTGTTGCATTAATACTTCTTCTTAAGTAAAGGATCTCAATACATGTTCCACCTCTGCTAAAATGCTTGTCCATTTGAGTATTTATTTTATAAAGTACTTTCACTTTTATACTTTTGTAACATTCGGTAGGGGGCGGTATTATCCTCCAAGCTTGTAGCCTGCAATCACGGAAGGTAAAAAAAAAAAAAAGCAGCGAAGAAGAAGAAGTGGTGGCCTAGCAGCAGCGCGGTTAGTTCCTAACGGCTGCTGTCAGTTCCTAACGGCTGCTGTCAGTTCCTAACGGCTGCTGTCACCACAACAACGCAACAACGTAGCTTCATTAATTCCTCACCCTGGTTTTCTTATGACATCCTTCAGATCCGGAGAACACTTCCCATTATGTTTGAGGTAAAGTGGCTGCTTTTCGGGGCTGTTTCTATACAGCTAACTGTGTGTAGCTTTACTGTTATAGTTAACTAGCAGCTGGGTAGATTAACCTGGTAAACAGGTGAATCAAAAGTTAGGTGTGGGTCAAACTGGGTTAGTTTAAATATAACCCCTTCTCACTCCTATATTACATATTTATAATATAGTCAGAATAGGTTTATTGGTAGCTAGTTAGCTTGTGACGTTTGTTATTAAACTAACGCTGGTTGCATTCAGTAACATATATATATATATGTAACCAAGTACATTTAACATTTTGAAGGACTTGTACTTTACTTGAGTATTTTAATTTGTTGCTATTTTGTCCTTCTACTGCTCCATTTCAGAGTTAAATCATGTATAATCCACACTTGAATAATACTTTAGTTAAAATCTGAGTACTTCTCCCACCTCTGATTGTTATGGGAAAATGTGTTGTATTTGTTCCTTAAAAAACCCAAGAAAAAATATCATAAAAATACGTAAGGGTAT